AACATTACATGAGATGATCAATATTCTGTTACTGCACATACTAGAAAATGCTTCAGAATCCCAATTTGCTTCATATGGTATAGAGGACTAAAGATATATAACTTCTATCAAATCATATCCATAGGAAAAAATCAACATCATATGAAGGATGAGAAGTAATATTGATCAATGTATATATTGGAAATTTAATGCATCTCTAGAACAAATTTTATACTTACTTTGTTTTCAATCAATACATGATCTATATCTTCTATTGATATTATCCTGCTTCTTTTACTAGCATTACTTGGTGATTCCTCTAAAACAATACTTCTATCCAATTCTTGAAGGACGTCATGCATACCCAAACACATACCACAGTCAACAGAATAATATTCAATTATCATACATTTCTCAACAAGTTCTCTTATTCCAAGTATTGGACAAAAACCACACATTTCAAGTATTTGTATCACTTGATCTTTGTTCATTCCCTTAAAAAAACACGCAATATCTAAAAATATTTTCTTTTCCATATCACTTAATGCATTGTAATTAATTCTAAGTCTCATTAGAATATTGCTGGGTGGAAACCTTTTAGTTTTCTCCAAAGCTTCTTTCCATTCAAGTTCACCTCTTCCACAAAGATAAGAACCCAACACTTCAAGAGTTAAAGTAAGGCCCTGAGCATGGTGGATGATGCTCTCACACAACTTCAAGTAACCTTCCATTGGTTCATCCCTTTTAAAAGCCCTCTTGCATAACAATTGAAGAGAATCATCATTGTTTAACAATGCAGCTTTATAAATTTCATATTCTCCATGCTCTACCTATACATGCATATCTTTAGTTGTTACAATTACTCTGCTTTGAGGACCCAACCAAGCTTTCTTTGCAGAAAGGTTCTCTAGTTGGCTTATTTCACTTACATCATCCAAGACAAGAACTTTTTGGCTGCATAACAAATTTCTTATGATATTCTTTCCTTCGCATGCATTATCAATATCCATGTCTTTTATCTTGATTTTGGAAAGAAGTTTTCTTTGCAAGGGAACCAAACCCTTGGCCTTAGAGTTTTCTTTTACATTAGCAAGAAAACAACTAACATCAAATTTGTGAAATATTCTCTTCTAGATAATTCTTGCAAGAGTTGTCTTTCCAATACCTGTCATGCCCCATATTCCTATGAAGCCGACATCACATAATCCAATATTTAGAAGTGCACTCACTTCTACTCTTGTTTCAATGCCAATGAACTGATTATTGAAACAATATGATAACTTTGGCTGCACCTTTGCCCATGCTTCTGCGATAATTTCTTCAATGAGTTTTGCTTCATGCCTACATGGAGAAAGGAAGAATCAGCAATTATTTAGTTCTGCATTTGGTAAAAATTGTAGGATCTATTTAATTAATTTATAATGATTAAGAAAATTAGTTTAGTTAATTACTTGTATAAAAGGCGTGTTGATATCCCTAAAATACCCCTTTAATCACTGGTATTCGAAACTATCCCATCAATTAATAGAAACCCTCCTTCAATATGTGGAGACAATAAGGATAGTTTGGAGAAAAATTAAAAATTTGGAAGACAAAGTGAATTGACATCTTACATTAGGATCAAACCAAAACCCTCAACTAATTTCTACATACATTTAGGATTCTAAATTACAACCAACTATTTACTATTAGGTTAGAGTCAAGTAGGTGATCGGGACAAAAATGGCATTATGTTGAAAATATCCAAAAAAAAAAAATCTATGATTTTTAACTCAGGAAGGCAGGAAAAATTAATTGATGGCAGAGTTCTAGAGTGCAGCGTATCAAGAAGATCTAGAAGAACACTCAAGTGAAAAGAAGTAACACACACAAAAGTGATGAAATATCCAAGGCATTGATTTTTATAGCATACTTTTATCTTTTGATCCAAAGCTTCAATTGTATAGTAAGGTATATGACTACATTGTGTGCGGGTGTACATGTGCGCCCGCGCGGCACATCTGATATTTTTTTAAAAATTTTTTTAAGTTTTTTTGTGAATAATATTTATTTAGTGATATTATTTTTTGGTTGAGTGTTCTCTTGAACTATATTATTTTTATGATCTTTATGAACATTTCTTATCATTACAATTTTTTTAATCTCTTTCAAAATTTAGAATTTGTTTTTAACTCAATATTATGTAAAAAAATTGACAATGGTTAATCATATGCACTTTTTGTAAAAAAATTATTTTTGATTCTAATACTAGTTTTATAAAGAATATATTTTAAATGATAATAATTATTTTTAAAAAATTATATATTTTTCAACAAAAAATTATGAATTTTTTTTGGTTATTTTGGCCAAACCTAACCCGAACACTCAAGCATTGGGTTAGCTTGAATTTTACATCAGGTAGGGCACTAAACATGGGTGATACCTGGCTCGACCCTATCTATATGCAGCTCTATATGGATGTATGCACGTGCTCATGTATATATATATATATATGCTTGCGTGCAGGGCTGTGAGAGTCATAAGGCAAGTGAGGCAATTGCTTTAGGCCTCCAAAAAATATATTAATACTCTTATTATATATATATGTGTAATTAATATTTTTATTATTATATATTTAATTGTAGATGAAAAAGAATAAAAAGTATTGATTGTTCTCTTGTTGAAAAGTTTCAACCATTCTCTGTATAACATTAATTATTGAGTTGAGTTCATTATTTACGTAACAAAAGAATAGTAAGATCCATAATACATTAATTTATACTACATTTGTTTGCTTTAAAGTCCTCTCATAGTCTTACTTTTCATTTTCTCCTTTTCGTATTCTAAAGCCTAAAATATTGACAGATATTAGTATCAAGACCTTGTATAGTTTTAGATCATCAACACGGCACCTTTAAGCCTTATTAAAATCTTATTCATAATTTATATAATTATTATTAGTTTTTCACACTAATTATTGATATTATTAGTCTTAATTATGTCTTTTTTGTTAAAAATGTATTTCCATCTCATATTAGTGTTAATATTCTATCTCAATAAATAAGATGGGGTAGGAGCACTTTGTTAATACTAATTTTCATTTAACTATTAAATTAATTTAGTAATTTATTAGAATCGCTATATTACATAGTTTTAATATATAATTTTGTAAAAAATGATGAGTGAAATTTTTTTTTGAAGGGACAATCACATATGCTAGGCTTTACAAATAATTTTGCCTTAGGCCCCAAAATATCTTCACACGGCCCCGCTTGCGTGTGTAATGTGTATAAGTAAAGCCATGCTTTTACTATCAAAAGAACTTAGTTTGAAAATATATGCTCTTTATATATTTTTCTTCCATTTTTATTTTTATTTTTTATGGTTTGATTAAAGAAAGAAAAGGTTAAAAATGAATCTGTAATGAGAGATTAAGGACATCTTGTTGGATTTATAATTTTTGTGGTGCCCATTGATGGACTGACCATATATTCCTCCCAGGGAAAATTCATGCAATTAATAAAAATGAGAAAATCATTTAACTAATTCATTAAAAATTTTATTATCTAATTTTGAAATTTAAGCTTTAAATAAAAAATTTTCGCACAATAACGTTACTTGTAACCAGCACACACTACCAAAAAAAAAAAAAAAAGAAGAGATTTTGGACAGAAATTTGCAACGAAATATAAAGAGTCACGAATACGTTTTAAAATTATTCCAAATTCCATTCCAAATATTTGTCCCATCACAACTCATGTATTGCAAATATCTATATTTAGTATAAAAAACTTACTGAAAGGCACAGGCATAGACAGATATATTTGAAACTTCTTTTAAGGCCTCTCTCCATCTTTGCACCTTCGCTTTGTTTTCAACAAATCTCTGACTATGTTTCTGAAAGGCACAGGCAAAGTTACCTCTCTGATGACGCACATCAGATGGATCAATCTTATAGAAGATTTGGATAACTTCTCTACCCAAAGATTTTTTAGATTCAAGAATCCTTTGGAGTTCATCCAAATACCAACTCGAAGAAGCATAAGTTTCAGAAAGAATAACAAGAGAGATGAGAGATTCTTCAATTGCTTGGAGTAGTTGGTGAGAAATAACCTCTCCTCTCTCGTGCTTATCATCTTTGAAAGTTATGATACCCTTTTGTTTGTGAGCAGCGTGTAAGTGGTCTGTGAAGCCTTTTCCGGTGTCTTCTTCTCTGAAGCTCAAGAAGATATGGTACTTCCATGGTGGGATTGTCAAGTTCATATGGAAGACGAGAGAGAGACAGACAGCTTCAGATATAGCAGGATCTATTGAAAGGTTTAATTTGTTGATTAGTCACAGAAAGTGGAAGGGGCCATGAGAGAGATCTATTAAACTTGAAATTAAACACTTATATTTTTTTATTGAAAGTTTATATAATTTTAGAATTAATGCGATACTTTTTATAATTCAAAATTAATTTACATATAAATGAGCATGTTTAAAAATATAGCTTTTATTTTTTAGTTCTGCAACGATATACTTTCAAAAAAAATGCAAGAAAAACACTAAAATGAAACATTTTAAAAAATAAATTAACTTTTACTTATTAAGTTTACCTAATAATAACAAGGAAGAATTTGAGTAAAGCCAATTAAATTAAAATAAGGGCCAAAAGATTGTGAAAATATACTACAAGATCAAGAGAGATAAAATTGAAATTACTCACTCTGTTTTAAATAAATATAAAAGAAACCATCATGTGCCTCCTTATTTTTATTTATAAATAAAATTACAAATTTGCAAGAAACATTTACTATACATTTTTTTAAATTGTCTTTCGTAAATTCAATTTTTATTATCACTAAACAAATTTGTTTCATTAATTACAAAGATAATTTAGTTCAATTTTTAATTTTAAACATAATTATTGTACTTAACTAACTTTGTTAAACTGTATAAATTGATAATTTTTTCCTATATTTTAAAATGGAGTATGTTTTAACGTGGAATGACCGAAATATCTTTCATTTATTAAAAGAAAAAAACTTCACCAACCACTGTCCTCAAAGCCAGCACCGCAGACTGCTAGACGCTTCGTCGGCCACCATCCATTTCTTATTGAAACAAATCAACAAGATTAATACACAAAGTATATATTTTCAACAAGTTTGAATAGTTATATGTGCACCCTCAGATCGTGCACCACCTCAATTTACTTATGGAACCATTCTGGCCAATGTGTGCGCTATTGGGTACAGGTCAGGTCATGCACGGATTGGGCCTGCTGTGGGAATTGCCAATATATAGATCAACGGACACACTATTTCGATCATGACGTCGGCACTTAAAATAGTAGGGTTTGACGTTGTCATTGGGTCATCAAGGTTGGCTCCTCTAGGCCCCCAAGTAGCGGATTATAGCAATGCTTCAATCAAGATTTTGGACCATTTGACCAGGGTCAATTTCTTACTTTAACAGGGCTTCCACGGGCACTCTGCATTGCAGCCCAATTTCGTCAATTTCATTATTTCTACGGTGTCGGGGCTGTGGATTCGATGTATTTTTTGCATTTTAGTAGAAGAACCGATGAACCTAAACACCAGTGGAGTCGGACGATATACTTGTACTTGAAGATGACCTTGGAGAAATATCAATCGATTTTCGACACTCCAAATGGAATGCCTCCTCCACGCCATTGTGATCACCGAATCATTTTGCAACCTAAAACAGGACCTGTGAAGGTAAGACCCTATGGCCCTGTATGACATCACTGCTAAACAAAAAGACTATATATAGCTGTCACTAAAAGAAAATTGCTATATAGTTAAGGTGGGTTTGAGAAGAAGAGAATATACAGCGATTATTCAAAATAATCGCTTTATAGTCCAGCAGTTATTTGAAATAACTACTATATATATAGTCTCTCTTTCTTTTGAATTTTTTTTTTAAAGACTATATAACGGTTCTTTCTAGAGAACTGCTGGATAGTCTTAAGACTATATTTTGCTCATATAATGTCCAATTTATTATAATTTTACCAACCTAGCAAGATTAATGGAGTTATGTACAAATTGGCAAATTTTACCCTGTTAATGACAATATGGACTAACATTGTAGACAAATAAGGAACTTGGAACGACAAAAAATAATAGAGACTAATACCAAAATACACTAAAAGTATAGAGATTGACATTTGTACTTTTCCTTTCAAAAATTATGGAGAATATCAAGTTTTTGTTATAAAAATAAATAGTTTTAATTATAAAAATACACTTTATATAACCATTTAAAAATATTCCTTACTCATTATCAGAGTTTCACTTATTCACAAAATTCATGTGGGGCTACTAGTTTTCATTTTTCATCTTATGGAAAATCCTTTTGATGTGAAATGGGGAAAGGATAGAGGAAGAGAGAGAAAAGAGAGAGAAGGTCGAAAAAGTAGGAGTTTTTTAATTCAATGACCAAAATATTCTATGCTACAAACCTGAATCAAGCTAGACTAATGGCTGCACATATTTATACAGCCCACAAAGACCTGCGAAGAAAAACAAGAAACAAGAAAGTAAAGAAGCAGAATTGAATACAACACTGTACCAAAATAAGTAAATAAATAAATGCAACAAGCTTGAATACATACAGCCCAATACAAATTCAAAATAGATATGACAAGCCCAATTCATCTTATAGTTTCTATAACTTCTTTTACTAAAGACAATTTCCTTCAATGCTTGCACGATTCATCTTTGAATACTTCAACGTCGCACCCTAAGACACAACAAGGTTAAAGAATTGACGATAGAGTCACTAGACACTTAAATGCTCCAGTAGCAAGCAAATAAAAATCTATTTTCTGTTGCTTCAATTTAATTTCCTTCCATTTCCCCAATTCTTAATGCCCAAAAGTCCCAAAAAACTTCAACTAAATTTATTTATGTATGGCCAGGTGTGGGTCTGGCATTAATATAAAAAAATCCAAAATGAGAAGAAATTAAATAAAGGAATTATGGTGATTTACCTGTGAAAGAAATTAGAGTTTTCTTCGTTTAGCAGAAAATGTTTGTGCTTCGTCATTGGCCACAGTGTTGTCTTCTATTGCCACTTCTTCAACTTGGTGGGATCTCTTTCCTTAAGCATGAAGAGAGTCTTGAGAAGGGATTTCACTGTTATTGCCACTTGTACTGCATTCGTTCATTGATCTGCCACATTCCTCAACATCTTCTTCACTTATCACACGCCACCCACAGCTGCTTATCACAAACTTGCTCTCATTTTGCAGATTAACTTTCCCTTTCCATCGTGCTTCCATGTCTATACACTTATATTTTTGTGTATAAAATATGAATTCGATTTGGTCACTGTCGACTATGAAATTACTACTAGGGAAATAAATCATCAACATTTGATGGGGATAGTTTCCCATACCAATTCTCCAAAATGTTTGAATTTTGAAGAATTCATCTTGTGAAGCTTTAGAAGCCAATGTTAGTCGTTGATGGAACACCTCTTCAATACAAGGAAGGTCTAGATCTTGTATAACAATGCAAAGAGAAATTCCCCACCTTGCACATGAGCCATGAAGATGGGAGATGTCTACTTTTATTGACACAATGGAATCAGATGGTTTAAAACCATCAATCAAAATGCGATGACCTCGATCAAAACCTTGACACGAGATTTTTCTCTCAGAAATTTGAACAACATGATTATTTTGAAAGCCATCAACTTTATCAAGAAATTGGAAATTTTGATTATGGAACCATGATGGAATGTTACTTTCCAACGTCCACCAGGTTTTGTAAGCCTTGTAATTTGAAATCCTAAAACGAAAAGATTTTGAAAAATCAAGAGCAGATGTGACCAAAACTAACACAAACTCTGAGAAAGATAAAGGTTGCATTGAATGACAACCAATTGTATCTACCTGATGTAGGTTAGGTGGAATATCTGGAAAATGCTTAAGCATTGGGCAATAACTGACATGAAGATGAGACAAAAATGATAGATTAGCAACACAACTGGTAGGAAGATGGATAAATTTGTTGAGGGCTAGATCAAGTCTCTCCAATGATGATAAGCAATTAAGATATTCAAGAATTGATCCATCATGAGATTGCAATCACTTAATTTCAAACTCTTCAATGATGAAAGATGTGAGAATGAAGAAGGAAGAATGCAATTGCCATCAGGTAGGTTGCCAAAATCATTTCCACTCAAATTAAGGAACTCCAATGAAGGTAAGCAACCAAGAGCATTTGGAATTGTTTTGAGATTGCAGTCACTTATATTCAATTCCTTTAATGATGCTAGACTTGAGATTGAAGGAGGAAACACCAATCTAGTTAGAGCTTCATGAATAACAAACCCAAATACTCTAGGAATTAGGGAAAGCAAGTTCCCTAATGAATTGGATGTTGAATTTTGACCATTGCATCCTTTCAAATATAGTGACTTCAAATTTTGTAGGCCAATAATGGATGAAGGTATTTTTCTTATAGCAGTTTCACTCAAATCAAGCTCCTCTAAACACTTATTTTCATCAATATTTTGAGGTAATGAAGAAAACTTTGAGCAACTTAAAATATTGAGAATTTTTAGGGATTTTAAATTACAAGTGGAACTTGGAAGACAAATAAGGTTTTGGCAATTTTTCACATCAAGAACCCATAAGCTATTCATACTTTTCCCAAACTCTGGAAGCTTTTTAAGTTTTAGGCACTCGGAAAGGATCAATTTCTCTAATGAATCCATTTCCATTCTACTTGGAAGAGCTTTAAGATTCTTGCAATCTTTCAAGTCTAATACAACAAGTTTTTTATGTTTTCCAAGTGATGGGTGAACTTTAGTAAGATTTATGCAACCTTCAAGGATTAGTTGTTCAAGATTGGGAATCATTGAAAAATTAGGAGTTCTTCTGAAATCTTTAGAGTATCTCAAATCAATGAACTTTAGCTTTTCTAACATCTGCTTAAAACAATACAAGTATAGGGGGAATAGCTTTAGAAAATGTGTAAAAATATTGAGCTATATTTGGTTAGTCATAAAAAAACTTACTTGTGTTCTCTCCCAAAGGTGTATGATCCTGCTATGATGCATTTTTAGGAGAACAATTTGGTACAAATGATGAACTCCATGTGGAAGAGATTTCAAAGGATATGCTTTCCATTCAAGAATTTTCAATGAACTAGGAAGACATGTGAGACCATGAGGAAGATACACATTACTTGAGATTATAAGTATTCTGAGATTGCACATACTAGAAAATGCTTCTGAATCCCAATTTGCTTCATATGGTATAGATGACTGAAGATGTATAACTTCTATCAAATCAGATCCCTAGGAAAAAATCAACATCATAATGAAGGATGAGAAATAATATTGATCAATATAGATCTAGAATATACATAAATTAGAAAATCTAATGCATTTCTAGAACAAATTATATACTTACTTTATTTTTAGTCAATACAAGATCTATATCTTCTTGTGACCATATCATACTTCTTTTGCCAACATCCTTTGGGGATTCCTCCAAAACAATAATCCTTCCCATTTCTTGAAGGATATTATGCATACCAAACACACACCATGGTCATAATAATATTCAGTTATCATGCATTTCTCAACAAGTTCTCTTATTCCAAGCACAGGACAAAAACCACACATTTCAAATATTTGTGTCACTTGTTCTTTATTCATTCCCTTAAAAAAACATGCAAGATCTAAAAATATTTTCTTTTCCATATCACTTAATGCATCGTAACTGATTTTAAGTCTCATTAGAATATTGCTTGGCGGAAACCTTTTAATTTTCTCCAAAGCTTCTTTCCATTCAAGTTCACTTCTTCCACAATGATAAGAACCCAACACTTCAAGAGTTAAAGGAAGGCTTTGAGCATGGTGGATGACACTCTCACACAACTTCAAGTAACCTTCCAGAGGTTCATCCTTTTTAAAAGCCCTCTTACATAACAGTTGAAGAGATTCATCATTGTTTAAGAAAGTAGCCTTATAAATTTCAAATTCTCCATGCCCTATCAATACATGCATATCTTTAGTTGTTACAATTACTCTGCTCCCAAGACACAGCCAAGCTTTCTTCATGGAAAGGTTCTCTAGTTGGCTTATTTCACTTACATCATCCAAGACAACAAGAACTTTTTTGCTGCATAACAACTTCCTTATCATATCCTTTCCTTCGTATGCATCGTCAATATCCATGTCTTTTATCTTGAATTTGGAAAGAAGTTTTCTTTGCAAGGGAACCAAACCCTTGGCTTTAGAGTTTTCTTTAACATTAGTAAGAAAACAACTAACGTCAAATTGGTGAAATATTCTCTTATAGATAATTCTTGCAAGAGTTGTCTTTCCAATACCTGTCATGCCCCATATTCCTATGAAGCCAACATCACATAATCCAATCTTTAAAAGTGCACTCACATCTTTTACTCTTGACTCAATGCCAACGAGCTCATCATCAAAACAATATGGTAAATTAGGCTGTACCTTTGCCCATACTTGTGCGATAATTTCTTCAATGAGTTTTGCTTCATGCCTACATAGGGAAAGTAATAATCAACAACTATTTAATACTCCATTTGGTCTAAAATGTACAAGCTATTTTAATTAATTTATAAAGATTAAGAAAATTAGTTTAGTTAATTATTTGTATAAAAGGTGTGTTGATTACCTAAAATAACCCCTTTAATCATTGGTATTTAATTGAAACTATCCCATCAAGGGAAACCCTCCTTCAATATGTGGAGTCAACAGTGATAGTTCAAAGAAAAAATATAAATTTGGAAGACAAAGTGAATTGAGGTCTTACATTTAGGATCAAAGCAAACCTCTTAACTAAGTTCTACATTTAGGATCAGAGCCAGGATTACAATTACAACTAGCTATGTACTATTAGGTCATGTTCAAGTTTTGATGATCTTTTCACATGATGATTGAGACAAAAAGGGCATTAAGGTAAAATTAACCAAAAAAAATTTGAAATAAAGCTTCCATTGCTATAATTTTTGGCTAAGGTAGGCAGGAAAAATTTATTGATTGAAGTGTTTTAGAGTGGCAGCATATCAAGAAGATTTATACAACAATCAAGTGAAAAGAAGCAACACACACAAAAGTGATGAAATATCCATGGCAGCATTATTTTTTATAGCATACCTTTATCCCATGCTCCAAAACTTCAATTGTATAGTAAGGTATATGACTACTTGGTGAATGGAATGAAATGGATTGAAAAAATAAAAATAAAAATAAAATCATGAAAATGTAGAGGAGGATAGGTGACCATATTCATAAGAGAAAAGGGTGATTTTAGTTTATGGGATTAGAAATCATGACATTTGTAGCATATAGTACTGAGTTTTATCATACTTTTATGAGGGAGAAGGGTGATTTAATTCATTTTGTTTTAATTTTTTTTTCAATCCATTCCATTTCTAACATTTATAGCAACCAATCAGAACCTTAGTTTGAAAATTTACTCTTTATATATTTTTCTTCCATTTTTTTTATTTTTTGATTAAAGAAAGAGATGGCTAAAAATGCAATAGTAAAGATAGATTGAGGACCATTTTGTTGGATTTATAATTTTTTTTTGGTGCCCATTGATGGACTGACCATATATTCCTCCCTGGCTAAATTCATGCAATTAATAAATGAGAAAATCACTTAGTTTAGTTGTCCTATTTGTTTTTAAGGTTAAGGTTCATTCTTACCTCTAAACTTTTTTTAAGGAATGTTTGGCACCCTATACTAATAAGTAATCAATTTTTTTTCTGAACTATTTTTTCAAGGAGCTAAAAACCCCTTCCAATAGTTACTTGATAATTTTTCTTTTTTGGCTGATATTGCATGTGCTTGAGGCCTACACACAATGACAAGTAGGACTCTAGCCATGTCCTTTAATGTTAATTTGCCGTTAAAATTTTTTCAGAAACGTTGGGCACTCTGAAGTCTTTTTATAGTAGCACTAGGCACTTTAAAGTTTTTAAAAAATAAAATTTAAAAATATTGTTAAAAATTAAATATTTTAATATTTAATAATTTAAATATTAATAGCTTAAACTACTTTTTAAAAAATTTATAGGTGAGTTGTAATTTGTTATATCAATTATATTTTTAATATATATTGATTAAGTTTCTTAAATTTTTTATGTCCTTATCTATATTTTTTGTGTTAACTAATGGTTTTTCCCCAAAATATTGCACCACTAAAATTTAATATTTTAATCTTTTGCAGCTTTGTATTAAAAACTTAGGGAATGAACCTCCAAATTAATGGAAGGATGTTTCCCTTAATCTCTCCATTATTTTCTTGATAAGTAACACTTTTTTTAGCATATTAATGGGATAGATGATATCTTCTAAATAAGCATTTTTGTTGGCATACATCATTGTCCTAGTATGTCATGTTTTTTTATTTTATCCCAACACTACAATGTAGAGAGAATATTAAATTTAGGTGGCGTAATATTTTAGTGGAAGACCATTAGTTGACCAAAAAATTACAAAGAATGATCTAAAAAAATTAAAAAATTAATCACTACTAAAAATATGGTCAATATATAAAAAATTACAAGTCATCTATAAATTTATGAAAATCTAGTTTAAGTAGTTAATATTTAAAAAATGACTTATAAATTTTGGATGAATATTTATAACTAATAATATTTAATTATAATATATTAAAATATTTAATATTTTAATAATATTTATTAAATTTTACTTTAACATAATTTCAAGGTGCCAACGCTGGTAGAAAAAGACTTTAGGGTGCCCAGTGTAACATCCTGGGTTTTTAATCCTTGGTTGAGGTATATTAAATATGCTTAAATAAGTAAAATTTACTGTTAATTAATTTTAGGATGATTTGGAATGACTAATGGATCTATTGAATTTATTTACACCCTTTAGATCGAATCTAGTAATGTTTTGGGTCACTTAAGCCCAAATTGAAGGATTAAATTTAGGCTAGCCATACTGTGCCATCCACCTACATTCCTAAATGAGAGTCATGGAAAGAAGAAAGAAAAGGAAAGAGAGAGTGATAGGGGAGAGTAAAAGCTCTATTAGGGAAATGATTTTGGACTACTTGGAAGGTGTTTTGAACTTGATTTCACCTAGGCATGTCTTTCCTACTCCCTCTTCTTCTATTTGCATGAGTTGGAAATGAGATTTAAGGTTGGAAGAGTGTGATTTTCAAACCTAGAGCTTTAGGTCTGAATCCATTAGTCTAAATGGGACAAATAAGGGTTATTTAAGTGTTCTAATATAGTTTAAGAGCTTTTACAATGTTATTAGCATTGGTCATCCATTTTAGATGAACCCTATGCCTCTAAGGGATGATTTTGGATTGTTAAGCATTATATTAGTGATTATTTGAGTTAATGTGAACTAAATGAAGTTAATGACAATTAATAAACTTATTGGATAAGAAATTTAGCTTGTAGTTGGAAAGTTAGTTATTAAAGTGGGAAATTTAGGAGTTGGAAGTTGTTTTGAATGATTATTGGTGATTGGTAGTTGATATTAATTGTAGACTAACCTTGCAAAGTATATGGGAGCTTGAGTTTAGCTCAGAAGTAAGTACAATTCTTGGGGGGTAAACTTTAAGTCCTTAAAGGTTTGAAGTAACCAAGAAAAATATATTTCATGTTATTGCTTATTAGATTAATTATAGGTTCTTTTATGTATGTATGTATGTATGTGTATGTATATGTATATGTATGAATTTATATATTGACTTCATTTTAAAAAATATGCAAGTGGGACTTTGTATATTAATGTAATTGTGAAATATTAAAATGAGGATTTAAACACTTATGAAATTGGTACATTTTGATGATTATGAGCATAATTATATTGTCATATGCTATGTCTTAATTAGCATGTGATGTGTTGGCATGATCATATTGATAGTAGGAGTTCACCTTGATGGAGAATAGTGATTTGTGTCCACATAGATTCACACCAACATCGTGAGGCCACGATGTTTGGTATGTTACCCTACCTTTAAACCCCACCTAGCAAAAGCAGTAAAGGGCTTATCCTTAAACCTCAAATAGCAAAGTTGGTAACAAGGTCTTGTGACATCCTTGTGTTCAAGATAAGGGAATCCATGATTGGAGAGATTGAGCTATGCTAGTCACATTGATTTAGTTCCTAATTATTGTATAGCCTATAGATTCAATCAATAGTGATGGAGTAGGTCAAGAGATGTGGAGTGCATGCCCATGATTGTTTAACCTGCATGAGCATGTTGTAGACTACCTTAGTTATTGAGTGGTTGTACTCAACCCTTTATTCTACAATTTTCAAGTAATAACTCTAGTCAAGATAGGGGAATAGCTCTCAAGGCTTATGGATTTGCTATTCCCATTGTAATGCCTCATTTTCATTTCTATTATGTATAACTACAATTGATAATGCCAACTAGGTCTTTTTCTTGGTACTTGTGCCACTACATGCATTTATATTTGATTATTGGTATTTTATGCCTTAGATCAAGTTATAGGTGTTGTCAAGGTATCATTAGGGTTAAAATAGTAGTGCAAGTATATTTTGGGTTATTTGGAAAGATTAAATGATTATTTTGTTAGTTGAATGATGATTTATTTCCCCCTTACTTTTGATGAATATGGAGATGGAGATTTAAAAATGAGATTCTGCTTGTATTTATATGTTGTAGTGTGTTTCACAAGTTGTCCAAGGTCCTCTGAGTATGATCTAGGTGGGTGTATGCACTAATGGCACTTGGGTTGGGGTTTGGACACTCCTTAATTGTAAAAAATGTAAAAAAAAAGTTATTAAAATATATTGGGGTGTCCAAGTTCTCTATATAAGAGAATTTGAAAATGAAACCTATATCATTAGCTAGTTCATTGTATGAGTTTTGTATGGACATCTAGATCACCTTAATCAGATATTGAACAAAGATTTGAGATATGCTAGAAGTTAGCCCTTGGATTTGTTTTGTTACAACAAAGTGTTGCCATATCTATGTAGCTTGCCACAACACATTAGTTGAGGCTCATTGCATTCAAGTGTATTTGTATTCTTTAAAGATGTAGAAAATGTTGAGCATATGTTATTTGTTTATTCTTGGGTCAGGACCTGTTGGTTTGGGTGTAGATTGGGGTTTCTAATGTTGGTGGATAACATTTCTAATGATTCTACATGGTTCTTTAATAATTTTTGTTATAATAAGATTTTGGTACTTCTATCTGCTAGCAAATTTGGAAATGCAATTATAAAGGTAGGGAAGGTCATTAAGAATGCCACTAGAATTATTGATGAATGTAAAATGTTGAAGATTGTTGAGAAGTAAAAGAAATAGGGTAGGAACTAAATTGGAAGTGGCATGCAAATTTGATGCCTAGCTAATTGTGATTGTAATGGATTGTGAAATCTTATTATATATTTTGTCTTGTAAGCTAAATGTGGGTTTTGATTGGAAATGTTCTAAAGTTGAGCAAGGTATTTTATTTGCCAAGAAATCCAATAGGTTGGTTTGGTTTTCCTTAATGGCTCGCCATTGTAATG